GTGTGTGTGTGTGTGTGTGTGTGTGTGTGTGTGTGTGTGTGTGAATATGTATATATATACTTCCCCAGAACATTTGCATTTATGCTTCCCTAGTATATTTGCTCATAACCTTGTACTTTAATAAAAAAGAAATAAAGAAAACTATGAAAACCCTTGAGACATATGCAGGTACATCCAATATATGCATATGTAGACTGTGTTTTATATACAATTGTATATCATCGATGTCATTGAGATACAAGCATGTGCGAACGTAGGATATCTGTTATTTGTGAGGGTCGCATTTACTTCGGGGAGGTTGCCAATCTGATGGCCCAATCTAATGGTGTATCTTAGCAGTTTCCCTTGGGTAATACCATTGCTCGATTTTTTTTGTATCTTGTTGCAGTAAGTGTTCCCCGAGCATAGGAAATCATACCACACTAGCAAGAATAGCACATATTGGACCGAGTACAACGTTGAAAAGAAAGTGCACATATTCACGGTGTGGTATAGGTACAAGTCTATTGACGGTCAACAATACCCTTTCTGGCAGCCTTTTTGGCCTTGCGATTGGCACGTCGGGCAGCAGCGTCAGCCATTGTTGTCGTGTGTGAACCTAACAAGTATCTAACAAGAAGTCGTGTGAAACAAGCAGAATTTTAAGACTACAATATAAAATAAATACTCGTAAATATGTACAGTAAAATACATACGTACTATGTACGCAAAATCAGATTTTTTTTATAAAATAACTTGTGAAACATGACTCCCCGCGGCAGGGCGGCGTGAGCTGTATGTACCCCTGGGCCCCTGGGGCCCTACGGGGGAAAAAGACAAAAAATCGCGTGCGTGAGTTGACTGCGCGAGTCATAGGCTCACACTCACAGTGTCAACTGTCAACGTGGCTGCAATCAAAAACTCAACTTTCTTGGGTTTTCTGAAGTTCTCGGCTTCTCAAGTTCTCGCTACATATGTACAGTTGTACACTCTCTCTAAGAGTATGTAGAGTAAATATTTATTTATATGTATTTGTAGAGGGGGAGAGGGTTTACTCCGCAACCCTCTAAATGTGGAATAGACCAACGATAGACATACATGAATGGAATTTTTAACTGTCAAAAATATTTGCGTGCGTGGTTAAACATACTTTGTAGCTAAACAACATGTTTACTTTTGCACATCATGGAGCATGAAAAACATCCCGTAACATGCAGTAGAGTACATCTGTAGAAGGGGTGAGTTTTGTGGCTCCGTCGCAACCTTCTAAATGTGGAATAGACCGACGTTATGTAGACATGATCGGAATCTAACTTAACTGTCCAAAAAATTGCGTGCATGGTTAAACATATTGTGAAGCTAAACAACATATTTACTTGTTCGCGTCATGGAGCATAGAAAATCATACCGATACTAACAGAGCCATCTGAAAGAAACAGTGCTTGCAAAGTCTTCAGAAAGAGATAAAGACTATGATGCCTATAAAATATATCGTCCGATCGAATATTGGTTGGATTCCAGCAGTATATTGGCATTTTACCGGCAAGTGTGGGGATATATATCGCTACTCATAACCCAGACTGTTCCATAAAATGGGTCAATACGGCGTGCACGTATCTTTAGAGTATCATTACATTCACAGACGGAGACTCGAGGTAAGTACTTATTTGTCCTATTGTATTCATGCAGAGCTATTTGAAATTTGGTTCCATCCAGAGCGTAGCTAAAGTAAGATTGACTCTTATACTACAAAAAGAACTTGCGGTGAATACATTGATGATGTAATTCGCATCAAAGTAGGCAATTGCAAAACCACATTACATATACAAACTATGCAATTACTGATTTGTGTTGTTGACTAAATTGAAAATTTCATGTTACACAAGTGGATAACCCACAACCCCTTACCAGTTCTCACACCCACCCCTCTGTGTTGTGTTTTAAAGAATCGAAGTTGCGAAGGGCTTTGACTTACGCCGAACGACCTTGCGCCCGGCTTGCGGCTTTTTATTTTTTTTATCTCTAGAGAGGGTCATGGAATTCATGATATGATTGATATCCCTTTAATTCTTTTTGTAGATGTGATTTTATTATTAAACGAAAACAATTGTCACTATTTTATGTATGTACGGCTAAACCCTTTTCGACGATTTTATTGGTCACGCCTCTGGTTCATTCAACCAATCGACAAAAATTAGAATGCCAAACAGTGAAAAGAGTAAATTCAAGCACTTTAAATTGGATTAATATTCAATCCACATGCGCCACGGAGGCAAGCAGCGATAGCTTTCAATAAAATATGACTATCACGGAACTTCAAGCACTTATTCAACCGCTGACAGCCTATACTAGCACATATTATAGACAGGCATGATGGTAATTTTTCATCCCTCGTTCCAAAATAATTCAGATATAGTTAGGCACGCATTTACGCTGGCACGCATTCACGCTATCAATGACGGATAGCGTGAAGATTGCGATACACAACTATGGATACGAGGAAGAATCGTCGTGCGAGCATGCAAGCTCTCTCCGCCGTTAGCTTCGAAGCTATTCCGGAGAATCAACGTGTACAGCATCACCATAGACCTCGTAGCAATACACAAAGGCATATGCGAGCATCATTGTCGAACGCCAGTAGATCATTTACGCGTAAGGTTTCGCGCACTCTATCCCGTACTACATCAGTAAGATCATTACAAATACACCTTGCAAGTGGTGTCCTAATCCTTTTAGGAGTGCTGCTTTTCACTGGGGTAGTAGCGTATATTGTGTCAGGGCTCGAATTGAATTCGAGTACGGTTTTTTCCGTATGGAGTGCTAGCAGTTCACAATTTTGCAAAAACTGTCGTAATAGTATGGATGCCAAGGGGAAACAGGAAGGAGACATAGATACGAGCAATCAACATACAATGTTGACTCATGCTGACAAGCTGTTCATATGTGATCAGCTTCAAGGTCTGATTGACGACATTCAAAATAAGTATGCGCTTTATATACAGACCCATCAATACCCAAATATGAAAAGATACACGGTTATGGACAATAACACACCGCCTTATGCCAAGACTGCTTGTCCAAGTTATATGCCAGGTGTCATCAAAGCACGAGCGTTTGCTCTGAATAAGACGGTAGACAATCCATATCACTATTGTTTTGGAGGAACTAGCATGCCTGGGCCCCGACAGTGTGACTTTGTAGTGCCCGACTATACTGTTAAATCTGCTGACAAACAAGCGCCCATGTATCCTCATATACTACCCCCTGGGCAACAAAACCAGGAGCAACCACAATACAACGGGAAGGTTGGTTTGTATGGAAAGAGTTTTGCATACAAAACTCACTATTACAAGTCAATGGCCACCAAGAAAGCATCTGCCGACGAAAATGACGACACAATTACGCTTTCAACGCAGGGTACTTGGAGTCGCATTGGTAACATAGTAACACTCGCGCAACGGTGGCAGGGACCTATCTCATTCGCCTTGTTTTTCGAAAAAAATGACGGGTCGAATGCTATCGAGCTTCTAGACAAGTTTATAGCCGACAACGAATACGTAGCACAATACGTAGATTTCCATTTGGTGTGGCGTGATGATCATCGTGACATAGATGAAGGGGCGTTTTATCCTATCAACTTGTTGCGAAACATAGCCTTGCAACCAGTGAAATCGTCGCATGTGTTTATAATCGATGCAGACATAATACCGAATGCAGGGCACACTCGGTACATTCAGTGGGTAGCAGACGCTGAAGGATCTGCGGCCGTTCAAAATAAGGACAAGTCCGCGTCGTGCCCTGGGTTACAGGCCTTTATCCCGCCAGCTGTGGAGATGGATGCCGACTCGCTATCGCGCATGTATGCTTCTGGAAACAGTCCCAGAGCAGACACACTACTGACTAAAAGTCAAGTTGTTCAAGGTTTGTTTAAAGGACAGGTTAGGCCCATGCACCAATACTTCGGACCGGCGTACCTACCAACAAATCACTACAGCTGGATGAGCTCGGAAGAGACAACTGAGTTGACCTATTTGACACGATTTGAACCTTATTACATAGCTCGAATGCCTATTCCGTTATTTAACGAGACCTTCATCAACCGAGGCGGCAACTTTGCGCAGCAAGTGTACGAGATGGCCGCTGGGGGGTACTCCTTTTTCCGGCTCTCAGACGCGTTTGTAGTTGATATACCGCACACGCATGCAAAGCCTGAAGCCAGCGCAAAAGCTGATACCAAGGACACCACAGACCTTCGAGACCGCGAAGTGAGTGAAGACTCCGGCAGGAATAGATCCGTACCGCAGGCGAGTGCCGGCGGAAACAATGGCTCAGGTGTGATAACGGAGAATTTGACCAAGCAAATCAACCATAATGAGAACTTTATTAGGAATATGTGGACACACTTCTACGAGCACATGCAAAGACGATACTTGTCAAATATTGTGAGCCCTGAGGTCGCGGAGCGGAACTTCCGGACGTATAGGCGCACACAGGATAGAATTGCGAAGACTCTGTGGAACGCCATAGCAACGCAGGAGTATGTGGAAAAGTATCAACAAAGCATGTAAATCTACATTGTGAGATGATGGAAGTCCATATTTATGCCCTGTCCTATCACATTATGAGAGTACATTTCCAAGCAAGACCCTATCACCACTCCGTTGTATGGGTACATCAACATATGAATACACCTGAATTTGATGGTAACAACCAGGCGTATGGATGATCATCGCAAGACATAGCAGTATGTTAAAACGCGGAAACAAGTTGAAAGTAATAGTGAGGCATGTAAGTCACTACTGCGAGATGGAAGGAGTACACATCAAGCCTGGCTCAATGACACTTCATTGTAAAAGTACACCTCTCAAGCTATGAATACATCTCCAATGTAGAAGTACAATTTTCAACCTATGAATACATCATCATGCAGTGTATCATCGTTGTGAATGGAATACTAACAATCGGGCATATGTGTCACTACCGAATTGCATAGGCGCATGGATCACCATTAAGTCATATGACTCGGCACCTATTGAAGCGCTCTATGCGTGCGACAAGGGTTAGTGCAGTTAACCGCGTACACAAAAGCGATTTGAATGAAAGAGGAGTATCAACCCAATAGAACGCAACATATTAATGTATAACCTCGGATTTTCAATATTTATACTGTATATTCAAAACAGCGGTAAGGGAGTATACAGTGGCGAATAGAGCCTGCTAGAGGGTTGGAGCGAAAGTTTTCTATGGGCCACAAAATTCGACAACGTCTTTCACAATAAACCTAAACCAAGTACACACAGCAATTCTCGTATAGATATGGTCATATAATATATATATATATATATATAGCAAAAAAAATGTCGACAAATAGATAGATAGACAGAGAGATACATAGATAGATAGATAGATAGAAGGATGGATGGATAGATAGATGGAAAGATAGATAGATAGATAGACAGATAGATAGATGTATAGATGTATAGATGTATAGATGTATGTATGTATGTATTGTATGCATGCATGC